CGGGGTGACCCAGGGAAATCCCGGCTGCTGCCATTTTTTTTTTATAAAGGAAAGGAAAAATTAAACAAAAGCCCCTTAGCCAAAAAAAAAAAAACACAAGGAAAAAGACTCCCACATCTTTTCTTTTCTTTCCCCCTCCCTTTTTGTTTGTTTTAGTCGTGCTCTGCCTTTCCCCATCCTCCCACAGAATGTTCGTAAAATAACATTAAAGATTTATGCGGTCCCTTTGGCTGGAGGGAGGAGGCGTGACCACGTCCTGAAAGTGTCCCGATTACAGGCATGACACCAACATCTGTGCTGGGAGGGGAGAAGAGCATCTCTTTCGTAGCCTGAGGCTCAACTGCGGGATCGCTATCCACAGAGGGGAGGCAGGTGGCAAAATGACGGGGGCGGGGGGTGTAAAAACAAGGCCTTTCCAACAGGAATCAAATTGGAAAAAAAAAAAAATCATGCAATCCTTTTTTCCATCCTGTGACAAAAGGGGAAAAAGCTAGGGGCGGAGGTGGGGAAATTGGGTTGTGTTTTCTCTTTGAAAAAGACGATGCATTTTAACATTGAGCTATCTTTATAGATCTGCATCTTATCTAAGCACTTATCAGTACCCTCGCATATGCGGGGACAGCCAAAAGTGCTGTCTCTCGGAGCAATCAGCCCACAGTTTTTCCCTGTCGCCCAGCGCGCACACACATGCACAACTCAAAGTTCTCGTACTTACACGGATTTGTGCGACAACACTCACCCTCTAGCTGCGGGGGACAGTGGAAGTAGAACATGGCCCTGCGGCCGGGCGGGCTTTTTCGCGCTCCCCCCGCACCGACGTACCAGCAGCAGCTCCCTGATCAGGCACCGCCGCGCTGTCACCTGCCGACCTGAAGACAGAGAGAGAGGGAGGGAAAAAAAAAAAGGACAGGGGAAAAATCAGAAGAAAGAATCTAGAGAAACTCACTGATGATGGTAGATCCCATCCCAGAGGAGGCAGAGAAAGTAGTGCCTAGCACTGCCTGCAACGAACTGGAAAAGCCAAAGGTGGAAAACTCCCTGGTAGGTGCACAGTAATTAGAAACAGAAAAAGTTTGTTGCTGCTTTTGGCCAAATAGTAGATAATGCCTGCCTGTTTTTCATCCATCCATCCATCCATCCATTCATCCATCTATCTATTCATCCATCCATCTATCAAGATATTTATCTCAAATATTCCCTTCCAGATAGAATAATTAAATGAAGAAAAACAATTCTTAGAGCTAAGAACTGACTGTTAAAAAAATACTATTCTGCCTAAATGAAATAGTAATAAACCAACTATTTTGCCTAAATGAAATAGTACTATAACCTAAAAGCTATCTTCTTTTTAAAACATCCACCACATTGAGAGCTGTGTTCACGTTGGAAACCAATGTCCTCGGCAAGAAAAAAAACCTACTTAAATTTATATGCAGTCATATCAAAAATCCAGAAGGCAAATAAAAGTAATAATCCATACCTAAACCGAACAGAAGCAAAATCACAAGTAAGGTTTGGGGGTATTTTGCATTGGAATAAGGCGCTGAGAGTTGCTGGCTGCAGAGACAGAAGGGCTCTGTGGAGTTCTGGAAGTGGCCAGATGTCTTTATATCTGTCTACAGCATGCTCTGCCTCTCAGCACTTGCCTTTATAATCTCACGCATAATTGGCCTTAATCTGATTATTTCCAGCGCTGTCTACAGTGAGTAACTTGGATAGGTCTATTGGGCCCTACAAATGGCCCACGTGGTGTGTGGAGAAAAAAAAAAAAAAGAAGAAGAAAAAAAGGAAAAACCCGTCATTTCTCAGCAAACATCAGGAATGTGAACAGCAACAACAAAATCCCGCCGCGCCGCGCCGCGCCGCGCCGGGCGAGCCGACTGACAAAGCGCCGGCTAATTGCCGCCGGATGGATTTTGGGGGGCCGCTTTGCACACGACTTGGCTTTCCAAGCGATCGTACCAAAGCAAAGTTTGATTTTGTTCACAGCGAGGGGTCTCTGGATTTATGCTCGCTTCCCGTCTGCAAATGATATGCGGCGGGACCCTTTGCAATTACTTTTAAAATGCATCTGAGACAGAGGCTCAGCGGAGAGAGATGGCCCTTGCCTCAGCCCGGGTGAAAATTAGACTTTAAAGTACCCAGATGAAATTTTCAAGTCAGGGACGCGGGATTGGATCAAATCACATAAACTGCAAAAAAGCAAGTATAATGGCGCATAATTGGTTCTATAATAGCATTACACAAGGATAATAGCCTGTTATGGCCCCCTGCACATTAAGTGCTTCCCTGGCGTAAAGCCTTTATGATATTAAAGGGGGAATATAATGATATTTTGGTTATTAAATGCGTGTAATTAATTTATGCACCACTGAAAATAAAGTTGGTATTATGACCCACTCAAGATGCATCAGAAGATGTAAGTCAGACAACTGTTGATAAGTTCTGGTGTCTATGTTACGTCTAGACTGCTGATTTTATTTTGGAACAATTGCTTCTCCGGCAGACTACACAAATTTAATATTTTATAAACATTGTAATGTTCTGTGCAGGAAGGGCGAGCAAATCTACACAGGCTCTCTTAGATCTGATGGGAGTTTAAAGACATAGCACATTCATACCAGTGCAAAGGAGATGGATACCGACGATACAGGTGCAGAAATAGAGATTTTAAAAAGAGGATGTCTTTGAAAAGTTGTTCTGCACATATGATCTCATTAAATAAACAACAATAATAATAAACACTTAGAAATATCACTCGCTCTATCTGCCTTTCACACTCGGAAGGGATATGGAAAACCCCCTAATGTATACTCAAGCTGAAATTATATTTCAATCTTATAAAGCATTATTTTAGCAAAGCAAGGCAGAAATTAATTGCATTGGAGATCCAAATAGAGCTTATCTTATCTGATCTGACCTGATCTTATCTTATCCATTCACCTACAGTTTTAGCACACTAGTGATTTAGAAGCTGCATGCAAACATGTGCCTATATACATATATATATATGTATACATAAAAACACTTTTAGGAAAATCACCCTTTAACAACAGATATTATTGACTTACCATCCAGGCAAGTCTCTGAACAGAAAGGTATACTATGAATTGAGCTGGCTTTTACAGCACCATGCAAGACCAATGTTCTGAATCCGATTGTACTCCTTAAAATAGCAGCACAAGCTTTAGGTCAATTAACCTTAAAAAGAAGAACGTAACACAGGAGTACTGCCTGGGTTTTCCCCTGCCAGCATCTGCATCCACAGCTTTAAAATTCATGCAG